AGGTTAGTAAATCACCCCCATAGTGTCAGTGAACTAGAAGGTGTTGTGGGGAAAGCTGTCAAATTGCAAAGGGAGAGATTAGGATCAGTTAGGAAACTGTACTTTAATTCTGATTGCTAGCTGTTTGGGCAATCAAGCTCTTTTCTGTTCTTATTATGGAAGTTTTTTTTTTAACTTTGATTATATTGTAGCTGATTTGGTGTCAGCAGGTCACTTTTAACTGCTGTCCCATCCAGAGGAAGTGTTGCTCTTTTTTTTCTGCAAGGCTTCCCTTACAAAAATGGGGGTTTGCTTTAGGGGTGGTATTTTGGGCTTCATCTATTTTGGGGATATATTGGTTTAAATTTGATGTCGATAGAATATTTTATTTATTTTCTGCAAGTCTTCCCTTTTTGGGGGGTTTCGATTTATTTTGTGGGTTTTCAACATTTTATGTTGAAGGGACCTTTTTTTAGTCTGGGTGCATTATGCGGAACATTCACTTGTTACTGACCATATGTTCTTGGTACTTCTTTTTGGTCACAGTATGCTACAGCATTATTTAATAGAAAAAAAATGAAATGCACCTAAACCACCTCACATTATATCAGTCACATTTAATGCACCCCCCTATCCCCATAAATAAAATAAGAGTTAGGGATACACCAGTTAGGCATTTTATCCCTGACTAAAACTGTCCTGCTGCTGGTCAATTATCCTCTGCAGTATCTGAATTATTTTAGTAAATCCCCAGCCTGTACTCCTTGTCTCTATTAAATTTGGGTCTAGGCCTTGCTCATTACAATTGTTCTGCTACTGGAAAATTTTACACTACTGTATCATTTGCAGTCTCTTAGGGGTCTATTCACAAAGCTGCCGAGGGCAGCTGAGTGAATGACCGATCTGAAGTGAAGTGAGCCAAACACTGTTCGGCTATTCACTTCAGGCTGGTACGGCTAATTTCAGCCGTACATCGGCTGAAATCAGCCGTACATCGGCTTGCTTCATGTGGCTTCGGGTCGGCCGAACATGCTCAGCATGTTCGGCCGACCCAAAGTGCAGAAGGAGTTCGACTCAGCTGATCCAACATCTGGATCGGCTGAGCCGAACCTCCGGCAGGCTTCTCACTGCTGTTTGGGCTATTCTTAAAGATCCCGAACAGCAGTGAGTGAATAGCCGAATGCCACCGAGCGGCATTCGGCTCGGCTGTTCTGCTCGGTCCCTCAGAGGTACCGAGCAGAACAGAAAAACAGTGAAAAAAGTTTAAAAAGTAAATAGCAAACGATTGTGCGGAGCTAGCAGTGACAGCTAGCTC